CCCTCTCCCTCTCTCGCTTTGTCTGTACGCGTCATAGACGCTGCAACGGAGTTCGTGCAGGCGGGGAAATGTTGGCGAGAAAAGTTGGATCGCGACTGCTTTCCTCAAAGGCATCGCGTTGCAGATGGCGCCTACTAACAGGCGGGAGTTCGCCAAAGCCGGGAGGGCGTCATGCGCTAGCGGGAAGGGTGGCTGCGGCGGCTGGGACAGCGGCAGTGATAACGGCAGGGGCAGCGGCGGCGGTGGTGCTGGTGGCTGGGCATACCGATGACGGTCTCAATCGAGCTTTGGCTGAGGTAATCTGTGCAGCCAACATTTCTTTTTTTTTATGAAAATGTAAACACACACAGCTCACCCCCTCCTTTGTTACAGCAGGGGTCTTCACAGCCAAAACCGTCCCGGTCTCTTTGTCCTTCTTCTGTCTGTACTAGTCTTACACTTGACGGTGTCGATTCGCGTGGTCACACGCTGACTTACCCTCAAAAAGGTAAAGGAAAATAAAAATGGACCCAAAGGGTCCGCAAGTCAAAAGAAGTCAAGACAGATAGTCTAGGCCGCTCCGCTCGCCTCTACTGTACACGCTATGCGAGGTAACCCTAGGGCTGGAAAAAGAAAGAAAAGGAAAAAGAAGGAAAAGGAAAGAAGATGTTACCATGAACGGAGAAGAAAGGGCTTTTCCAACACGGAGATGTAGCATGGATCAAAGCATTTGTTGGATATCAGCTTTTACAAGAGGACATCAACGCAGTAGTGTTTTAGCAAGCTTACGAACGCATGTAGGATACCATGAGGATTGTCATTGGTTTTGTTTCAAATTGAAGAGGAGATATATATATATATATATTTTTACGCCGTAAGTGACAGTAGAAATAAGTCCTACATATGTTGTTGTACTTCGTATTGGTTTAATATTCATGTAGAGTATGAGACATTAAGTAAAAGTTTTCTGAGGTACATCTGCAATTGTCGGAAGGCAAAAAAAAGAAAAGAGGAAAGAATACGAAATGAAAAAGAAGATAGCAGGTGGAAAGAAAAGGGAAAGAGAAGGAGAAAGACAGACAGGGAAAGACACACGCCGAAGCGACAAACAGCAAACAAAGCAACAAAGGACAAAGCAAAACAACACAAAGTTGGCCACCCGAGCCAGCAAATGCACATCATCGTTCGTGGGGGGTTGGTGAAAGGACGCAGTGCCGGGGGGGCGGATAAGTCAAGCAAGGGGTTCAATCCGGCATAGTATTTAGCGCCACTCGGTTCGCCTCTTCGCGTTTCCTGTCCTTGTTTTCCCTCGCCGTCTCGTCCGCCTGCTG